CCTCCTCCTCCTCCTCCTCCTCCTCCATCATTGTTACATGTGTAGTCAAAATGACGTATTTCTGCTAAATAGAACAATTATCCAATCATTTCTTAAAAGCAATGTACCTTCCTGGAGTAATTTATTATATACTTACGGGTCATTTGACTTTGGTATCAGAGTACCAAGTTCTTTTATGCGATCATTAATATTGAATCGTCGTCTTCTTTCAACTTTTAAGAAAGCAGTATAAAATTAGGAATCAGTGAGAGAAGAGAACATTTGAAAAAATAACAAACCACCTTTATTATTACCTGATCCCTAAATTCAATTAAAGAAAACTACAATAGATTTATCAACACAGCACAAATTGGGCAGAATAAAATTTCTACATATCCACAGACTCCAAAAATCAAATTAAAACCACTTTATTATTTAATAATTAAATAATTAAATTATTTTTTTTTCATTTAGAAATTGTCACATCAGAAAAGATTTTGGCATAAATATACAGCAAATGCCTTTAGAGAAAAATACATCAAGAGAGCCTGAAATTACAAAAAAAAATTCTATGACCTTTAAAATAATTTAAATCTATGTAGCTAGATTTCTGTGACATTAAGCATGGAGAAGCCAACAATATTAAAGAAGTCTGCTTAAAAATTCAAATTTTGTATAATATGCAGATGACTTTACAATGAATATATTTTACTATTTGCATCTAGCTATATAGATTTAACAAAGCTCTACTTCCAGCTAACATATACACTTTTTATATTTATATCATTCATAATCAATTCTTAATTTTGGGAACATAGATAGGCTTTGGTACAGTGGAATGATAAAGATATGATTGAATTAATTATGCTAGATTAAAATGACTTCCTACTAGCCCTTTACTATGTGTGTTAAGGATGAAAAACAAACAATCAGAGATTTCAGCCAAAAATTATTTGGAAATGTAAAGGAATCAAATATACAGTAACTCTATAAGAATATAGTATTTTTATATTACAGAAACTAAACAAACACTGAAGAAAATTATTAAATTCCTTATAAAATAGGCTCATGGTATCAAAGTAATGTTTTTAAAACCAAGTAACAAAATAAATATCTAATTCCCTGTACAGAAAGCTCAATTAGACATTTAAAAATATTTAAGTAATTATATTTTCCTCCCATTATTATGAGAATGGGTTATATAAGTTCTGAAAATCACAAAGACTGTGGGCTATTGATTCTTGTCTATTGTTTATTGACCATTGAAAAAAACACAAAACAAGCAACTTACTTAAATTGTGATTGTCTTTCTTTTGTCTTTCTTTGGCCAAAGCTCTTGCCTCTGATTCTGTGGGAAATACACACGATATGCATGTTAATGAAGTAGTCAGAATTAGTATAACATTAAAAGGCAACACTCGCAAGGTAAACTTTGATATTTCTCTGCTGCATTCTACTTCATATATATATTCTGACTGACATACCTACAATATACACCACCTATATGGCACCATAGCAAAAACCTCTGGTATATTTCCATGGCCTAATATCATGGCTGTTCAATCTGACTTATTAAGGATATAGGTTCAAGTTTAAAACTACGAAAGCCTATAGCTGAAAATAATGAATGTTTGGCATGATATTGTCTTTGTTCTTTTTTTATAGTACGGCTAGCTGTCATTAAAGGACCAATTTTAACATTTAGGGATATCTTTAGCAAGAAAATAGAATTTCTGAATGCAAAAGCGGGATTCAAACCCTCGGTCCATGAGGTGAAAAATAAACTAAACAAATCACAGCTTGTAGAAAAGTAGCATACGAGAAATAACATTCAAATACTGCTTTTCCCTTTGGGTCTGCTGGTTCAACAACTACTCAGAAGGAGTCATACTGTTTTATGCTAGTATAATGTTGTTGGTAATTGGTTTTCATCAACAAATGTGATTTGTGAAATCTCCTATTTTATGATGATTCCAAATGTTATCTTTCCCATTTCAGGAAGCCACAGATGCAGAAATAAATACAGAGGTGGAGTTTGTTAGATTGATATTTGTCACAGAAAATCAGACCTGCCATTGCTAGAATCTTTAGAGTAGCGAGAAAGAATATGTAAATTGATTGGGGTCTCTTTCTTATGTGGATCTGGCATGCTGAAGAGTACTAATCATTGGAATCTAGTGTAGCTTTAATGATGCCATCTTAAAGGTTAGAAATGATAAATCAAAATAGAGCTGGAAGGGACCTTGGAGGTCTTCTAGTCCAACCCCCTCCTCAAGCAGGAGATCCTATACCATTTCAGATAGGTGGCTGTCCAGTCTCTTCTTAAAGACCTCTAGTGATGGAACACCTATAACTTCTGAAGGCAAGCTGTTCCACTGGTTAATTGTCACTGTTAGGAAGTTTCTCCTTAATTCCAAGTTGCTTCTCTCCTTGATTAGTTTCCATTCATTGTTTCCGGTGCTTTGGAAAATAAGCTGACCCCTTTATCTTTATGGCAGCCCCTCAGATACTGGAATATTGCTACCATGTCACCCCTAGTCCTTCTTTTCTCTAAACTAGCCATACCCAATTCCTGCAACCGTTCTTCATATATTTTAATATATCCTTCATGCATAGTAACATATTAAAGTAACATTTTCAGTTGAGGCAGCAGCTAACCTGAGGATAACGGGCTGCATTCAGTTAAGCCTCCATCTGCCAGAATATTTTCCATCAGTAGAACAGGAAAGGAAGAGATTCCTCCTTTTTCGTGTACCCCTGTGTACCCTGCACCCTCAAAATCTTCTCCAGAAGGTTGGGGAACGAGACGGCCAAGTCCTGTTGCACAAGTATAAAAGTCATTTTGTGCAACGTTGGGTTTTATCCATTAAAATATTAGGTTTGCTCCAAGGAAGCAGCATACTGTAATCAAGCTAATACTCCCCACCCCCTAACTACTAATAAAAAGGCTACCCATATGTTTTATTAACCATTGGATGAAGATCAACCATGCAGTGAAACGTCTGTTATTGGCTATTCCTAGATTATTTCCAAATATGGATAATAAAGGCCTCTTTATTATAAAAGCATAATAATGAACAAATGCTGCATCTTCCTTAATGAAGCTGCATCAGACACAACGATGCCTTATCCTTGCTGGTTTTTTTTCCCCTCTCCTGTCCCTTCCTTAAGAAAAGAAAGGCAAACACTATACATTAACAAAAATATTTTCTGCACTCATGACTTGCCCATCGATTCAAGGATGCTGTTGTAGGACCATACAACGTGACTGGTACAAGGAACTTTCTCAGAGAACTTGACATTTCACATTTGAACACAGCATTGTTTATTTTCTGGCTACGCTATGTGAACTATAGTGTATATATGACAAATGACCCTTAAGCAAATGAATAGTGAAAAAGACACTTGGTCATCAAGCAAAGCCTCATTTTCCTTGTCGCTCTGTACTTTCTATTTTGCCCACCACTCATTCTGTTTCATATAAAGTTGTTTTACATCAGAGGTATCAAATTCAAGGTCCGTGGGCCAAATCTGGCCCATGGGGCTGGCCTGGAAGTAGCAAAGGACCAGCCCACAGTACCTCTGACAGCCAAAATGGGGCTTTTTTGATTGGCAGGAAGCCATCTTGCATAATAATGAACAATAATGAAAATGGTGTGCAGAAGGCCTCAGGCGACACCACACACCCCGTTTTGGCTGGAGGGTGTTGCAGGACACATCTGTCCCATCTCCTCACCGCCCACCCCCGTGCAGAGAAGTACAATGCTGATCTGGTCCTCAGAGAAATCCAGTTTAACACCTCTGTTTTATACCAAGTTAGGCTGTTTGTCTACCAAGCTTATTTCTGTCTACATTGTATAATCCTTGTACCTCAGCTACCACAGAGAAATTAACCTTCCTTCCTTTTACTTCTTTTCATTTTTAGGCTCAAGTTGGAATAGCAGTTGACTGCAATTCTCACTTGGTAACCTCAGGTCATCCTGAGCTCCCTTGCCTTTTCTCCCACCTGGCTTGCTTTTTTCCCCTGCCAAGTGCAGAGGAACTATGGAGGCTTGCAAGAGAGGACCTGTTCTGTTGGCGGCATCAACAGGAGGCACTGCCCTTGCTCTTCTGAGAGAGCAGAGAGTTTGCTAGCGTTGTTTAGGAAGTTCAGCAAGAATACTATAAGAACCTGGCAAAGATCCCAGCTTCAATCTTAGTTGGTGGCAGGTAGAGGGCATATTCTATGGAAGGCCTCAAAGCACATTATTGGTCAGAGTGGAGACCCCAAGATTAACTGTAGCTCCTTTAAAGGTGTCAGACCTAAGAATCCTTCTGAACTGGAGGTTCTTGAGTAAAATTGTTCTGAATTATTTGTGGACTCTGGGAATCTTGTCTTAAATAAGAATAGAAACAGCTGCCAAAAACAAAAGAAATCTAGGAGACTCATTTTGGGAGCTGGAAAGTATCTATTTAAAGACTGAAGATTAGACCCTGTTTGAGAAAGGGTGCTTGCCTGGTGAATTTTAACCCTTTTCTGTTTTTGTTTTATTTCCTTCCCCATCTAGTTTGTGTTCTCCTCATTTCTCCCCGCTTTTTTTCCATTTACTTCCCAGGGCAGATGTTCCCTGTCTTTCCTCAGTCTTCCTTACTCCTATTTCTTTGAGTTTCTGATGGAAGAATACAGGGAAATCTCCGTCTTTGTCTATATTGGAAAGTCAAATAATTTTATAAATGGAAAACTTCATAGGCAATTAATTTTTATAAATAATTATTAATTCAATTTTTAGCATCCTGGCCCTATATTGCATTCAAATGATACAGATTAACAGAATTGGAAGGGACCTTGTGGGTCATCTAGTCCAACCCCCCCCTTCCTGCCCAAGCAGACCCTACAATGACACTGGCATTTCTAAATTGATTGTGGTGAAGCTAGTCTCTGAAAAAATCTTTTGCCTGTGTTTATCTCCCCATCTCACTCCCAGCCCCCACTCATCTTTCTTTCAATAAATATAGTAGAAAGTGTTTAATACAACAGGTTGTTTATATTTCTAGCATTGAATTGCATATATTTCTTACGTGGCTTGTTTATTATACTTTTAAAGACAGAGTTCATATTTACCTGTGAGTTCCCTTTTTATATTAGGAAGGTTAGCAGGGCAGGAATTGCTGATGTTAAGTCCTGGAGGAGGCAAACCTTGATTCCCATAGAGGTCCACTAGATTGCCAGAGACAGGTAACTGGAAAAGATAAGAGATGAGATGAGATGTTATCTCCCTGCAAAAATCCTTGATAGTTTTAAAGCTGAGGTTTGGAGCAAATATTACCAACATTTCTGTATTGTTGCTTGACTATTAATATAGCTCCACCAGAAATGAAGGTTACATCTTGATGTCTGAGATGTACTTCAGAGAATGCAACCAATATATGGGTTTTGGAAGCCTGGCACTTAAACAAATTAGCCATCAACAAGTACACAGACATAAACATCTACTACACACCATTTAATACAGAAGATCAAAAAGGAAACTGAAAGACCAAAATACTTGCTTACCAGCAATCGACATCCCTATGAGCAGCGACTCATACCAAGATTAATATTAGACCAACAAACAAAAGACTACAAACAATCAAACTATACCCTAAGAAGGAACCTCAAAACAAGCTAATAGTAAACAACAGCCCAATCAAGAAACCACCACCAAGACTATTTTCACCAACCCTGACAGAGTAAGCCACTAGAATATAAAATTTAAGCAAACAACCAAACACTGATAAAGTTACCTAATTTGGTAATCAAACAGCAGCAAGAAAACAACCAAGCTCACAGAGCACATTGTACAGATCCCACATGGTAGGGTTGAGTTGTTCAGGGTGTAATCTATAGTTGTCTAATTAATTCACTGTTTTCCAACGAAGGGTATGTTTCAAATACCAGTTTGGATGTTTAAACCTCTCAACAG